ATTATTTTTGTTTAATTAAAGGTAAATGAACATAAAAATAGTAATTTAATTAAAGATATATTAAACAAGTTATTACTGGTAAACTAATTTTATTAATAGATAATTCAACAGAAGACAATACATGTGCATGCTATATTATAAATTTAACCTGTTGTGCTTGGAAAACAATGCTCTTGTGGCAGACCAAATCTGCTGTTTGATAGACATTGTTAATAATTGTTGCAATGCATAATTGATATTATGTTAATGATGTAACTTATTGTGGTAAAATTTTTATAACAATTCTCGATATTCTGAACATCCATTGTTGCAGTTTATATAGTACACAATACGTATTTCATGAAGCATAAATTAGTGGCTGCTATGTTGTATTCCTCCCACATTATATACTTTCAACAAGTTCGATGATAATGAAAATTGTGCTTTTGCCTCCGCAAGTGTTGCATTGGGTGTTATAAACCGACTCCGCAAAATTTCTTTGATGAGAAAAGTTGCCAAGTTGGAATCATCAAGACTGAAATGGTCTCCGTTTAATAACAACTTGACCACTGCACCTTCATACTGTTCATACTCATATGACTTTTATTTGTTTTTACCAACTGGAAAACATGGCGAACGTAAAAATATTTTAATTAACTCGGAACGATTCAGATCCGGGCGTAAAAACTCGAAATTACAACAAACTCCCGAAGTTGGGGTAATAAAGGTATCGGATTCCGATCTTACGTGCAAGAACTAACACCATTTAGCAACAAAACAAATAAAGCGGAGAGTTTGCTGTACTAAGTCTCGGGAAATGCGACAGGGAATAGTGTAAGTGGGAACGTACGTTTAAAATAATTTTTATGGCTTGGAAAACGTTCTTTTCGAAACTTTTTTTAATCTTATTAATGGTGACCCGTTTTGTCGTTTGCTGTCATCGGACCTGCGTTATACAGGGTGTTTGTGGATTGCGAGCAAATATTTTAACCACTAAGAGCATTTGTTATGAAAAGTCGAATTGAAGACCAAACAAATTCCGTATCCAAATTTTATTTTGGCAYTTTCCCTTCTGTGATTTTCACGAGCCGTTCAGTGTGTCTGTTCTTGTTAGTTGGAAGTAAAAATATCAATGAAAATAAATTGCATTGAATGTTGACCGTGAAAGTTTTTATAAAGAAACTTTTTGTCCAAAAAAATTATCACATGTTTACACGGCTCAGTTTAGTTAGTCGTTAATGCGCTTTCGGGTGAATTGTCACATCGATTTAAAATTAAATTGTCAATCAAGTCATTATGGCCAACTACTCAAACGCCAAATTAACTAGTGTACGGACATCGCACTTCCAAGACCGATTTTCACTAAATGTTTGGGCAGAGATCATTGAAGATCACCAAATTGAACCCTACATATTACCTCAGCCTTTAACTAGTGCCGTTTATCTGAATTTTTTGGAAAATGTGTTGTCCGATCTGGTGGAGGATGTGCCCTTGGCGACACATCCGGTATTTTCAAGTGGAGCTCCATCAGATTATGCCGAAGTCGTCACCAATGGATTGAACAATCATTTTCCCTAGAGATGGATTGGCAATGACCACCGCGGTTACCAGATTTAAATACGTGTGTTTTTTGGGGGGTTCACATGAAACAATTAGTGAATTAGTGTACGCAGCTTAAATTTATACCTTCGAAGGGCTATGTGTGCGAACGCAAGCTTCCCTAGCCCGAAGAGTGCATTGCCAACGAATAACCACATTTCGAMCAATTTTTTATAATAGCAAGTATTGACCCACTAACATTGACACTGATCTACCTTGTAGCGATAATTTTTTTGTCTTTACGCTGTTTTCTTTCCAAAGTTTTTTCTTATGAATGAACGTAAACATCGTATTAAGACATAGGCGGGGACGGGTTTTCAGCGTCAATTTAATTTTAATTTTAATTCAGAAATGACGTGCTTTCGACAAAAGTTGGAAAAACGAAAGTTGTTTCTTTTGACGAGTCCTATTAGTGGTTAAAATATTTGCTCGCAATCCTCAAACACCCTGTATTTATAACCTGTTACTATTAAAATGTTTGAAAACCATGAATTATGATAGCTGCTTCAGAAATTAGTGCTTTAATTCATTAATTACAGGGATATAAACCGAGGAAATCACAGCTGGGACACTCTATATAAGAGCTTCCACTGTTATGTATTAACGTTTGGATTAATTATTTTTTGCATTTTCCTGTCAAAATCTACACATTCCATGTTATTAAATTAATGATTCTGGTAGCAGAACCCTCGCAAGATAATTCTCCGTTCCATTCAACAAGCATCTCGTCTCCTCTTTGCGCGCCCACCTAATTAATTATAGTCGAATGACAGTTCATATTTTACAGGTCGTTAGTTAATTAACGTGTTAAGCATGTCGACGCTTTATCGACTCTTCTGGAACGCGGCGTCGTGACGGCTACTAATTTGAGTGCAAGGCGTCGAGGGTGGCCAASCTGGGGACGTCCCCTCACATGATTGTCCACTCAGCAAAGAGCTTTCCTAATCCATGTGTGCCGAGCATAATATAGAGATAGGGAAATAAAGAACCGCCAAGAATAAGTCATATATTCACGGAAAAAGGGATACGGACACAGCATTTCTTAGTGCTTGCTGAAAATGGGAGTTGAAAAGAGGAGAAAGACGATTTTTTTGGTGAAACTGGTCGTGCAACTAGCCAATAAAGTAGCAAAAAGAATTTTTTGGGATTAAAAAAGCGCAACAGGGATTTGGTCGCTTGTTGATTTTTATACAGGGACTTTGACGTTTCTAAATGAATTGCGAAAGTAAATGATTGCGATTTTTGTCGTCCAGTAGGCCACAAACATGCATTATTATGAAATGCAAAGTCACATTTTTATACATTTGTTGTACAAACATACTTTTGCACACTAGTGTAATAAAAGTTTTAAAATGTAAGGTACTAAATACTAAAGCAATTTTTTTTTATGAAATTTAATTTAATTTCAAAATGAGGCTTACGAAAACGTATCATTTGTCAGGTGGTTACGTCGCTGACAGTCCGCTCACTATAACAAATGTGCATTATCTGTTAACTAACAACATACAATACTAATAACCACATTGATTTAGTTAAGTTTAAACATCATTTTGTTCGTGAAATTTAAAATGAACCATTTACACAGTATTTTCACTCAATTATTTATTGTTAATTTGACACAGCAGACAGTAGTCATTTTTAGCTTTTTTTTAGTGATGTACTCGTATCCTAACCCGAGGTAGCTTTACATATCTATGTTTCTTGAATGTTTGTAAATTTGCACATTTACATTCATTGCGGCAGTATGAAAAATTGAAAAATATTCATTGATGCTGAGTTTTGGTGCCTTTTCTCTTTGTTGACCAGAGATTGATACGACCTGATTACGAGTTTAATTTAAATTTGACGCCACGTGAGACAATTTTAAAATATGTTATTATTAATTAATTTTTAAGACTTAATTCAGTTTAGTGCCCACTAATTCTGGAAGATAGTCGTTATTCTTTTAACAAGTCAATTTTAGCCGGGATTAGAAGACAAAATACACTGGCGGATACGGAATTTTGAACGATTTGTCATTAGACTGTCATAAAAATGTAAAACGGACCTTAGGCCTAACCTCACTTTCGGTTTTTGTAATTTTTATCCTGATAGCTGGAGAAAAAATGACAACAAATCAAAATAGTTTATTGAACTTATATAAAAACACGTATTGCTGTCATTATTGTTACGGAAAAATAAATTTCAACTAAAACTTTCAAATTTTATTTGAAATGTCAATCATAATGACAATAAAGCGTGGCTTACATTGACATTTTTTGAACTGACATAAATTTGATGTCCAAAATTCCGTGTCCGCCAGTGTATGGTATATACCGGGTGAATAAAAAGTATGYAACCAAGCGTATWGTATGTATAGTATTCTCAGAATATTTATCAAAATCACGTACATTCTGTTTGGCGCTATACATTAATCACGTGAGGCCAGAAATGTCATTTAGGACATCCTCGTCAGGAAAAAGCGKCAATTTAAAATTTATGAAATGTAATTCAAAAAAAGCACAAAAAGCTTTGTTTTCGCTAGTACTTTGTACCGCGTGCAAATTAATTGCGTTTTTTGATACGTTTCGACAATTGTTTACCTGAAATTTTGTGTCTTACTTTTTGCGGCTATTTGTTAGAACATTTAGAAGCGTTTTGTTAGAGATGGAAGTAAGTTAAACTGAAATTTATAAATTTGACATGTTATACAACATTCCAGTTTACATATTAATTAATAATAACAGTTTTATTCGTCGGTTTTCATATCACTCGGTTCGTGATAAAAATGTAAATAGTAGTTTCTTATTTCGTTCATAAAAATTTAAGTTGGAACGAGTTTGTAGAAAAACAAAAAGTTTTTTTTATTTAAAATAGCAACCACTATTGTCCCTGCCGAGACTGAGATAGAAAAAGGCGGGTTAACTTCGAATTTGAAACTGAAATTTGTTTTCAAATAATACACACACAATATTTGCCAACCCATTATTTTTAATTAAAATTAAAAATATTATACAGGGTGTTTCACACAACTTTACGAGGCTTGCATCTAATGTACGCACCCAAATATACAAAATTCACAAAACACTAGATAGGTACAGAAAATATACATTTAATTATTTAATTTTTGGAAACCCATGACAGTAGTTGTCAAACTAATCACTGTTTCACTAATAGTCATAAACTGCAGATTTTCAYAAACAATTATCATTTATTCTATCAAGAGATGGCATAATTATGATTCTATTTTAACTATCTTAATCACTAACTAACTAAAAATGTTTTAAAGGGCGAACAAACTAGAAAAGATTATTCAATTTTTCAAAATTTTTAATCGAGTTTGTATCGGAATATGTATTATTGATTGCATTTTAGAGGCGCTGGCCTCGTAAAATTATGTGAAACACCCTGTATTCTCAGTTTATAAATGACCAGATTCGTACAATCTGATTAAAAAAAAAAATAAAGTTTTAAAAGCAAGACCAATTCATCAATTTCAAATATCACATTTCAATGCAAGACCAAAACTTCATAACTTTTAAACATTATTTCCTTACCATTGTAAGGAACATAAAGGCACTTGTGAGATGAATGTACCTACGACAAAAATATGAAAATTGGCACTAATATGACACTACATACCTACCTTTCCAACTTTCGTAACACCCCCCATATTTACTCGACCAATATACAAAGTTTCTCCAGAAGCTGTTTTTCCAGCAGGGATTGCTCCTGCTGGTACTTGTCCATCTCTTGACGGCAACCAACACATTTTTTTTTCGCATAAAATCTAAATTAATCAAGGTTAACACAAGAAGGCAACAATTTTAAAATTACCTTGAAATCATTAACTTTTATTTCACGTCCATCATAACTGACATATGCTTCTCGTCTTCTAGGAATAATTTTACATGG